TTCTACAGGTGGGTCGCTACCTGCTGAGGGAACTGATGAGGCTGTGATACTGGATGCTCCTGGTCTGCTTTGAAAATATTGGGATTATGTCAGTGTGTTGCCAAAATGTTCACTTGTGAGAATGCTTTTCATATTGATTACTGATCCCATCTACTATTATCATTCAAACCAGTTGTTATTCACAGTGAGTCTCACCTGGCTCTTGAGCGTCATCCTGGCCCAGGATGTAGTAACAGTGTGTAGACATAAATTCATTCTCATCTGACGGAGACAGACAGATTGACAGATGACACACAAATGTATATTTGTAAATTACGTAAATGTATATGACACTACTTTCACCATTCACAACCAAATATAAATGACACCGACCTTACAGAATAACTGCATAAATAGACACCCAGAACAGGAGATCAATGTTGGCAAATTCCTGATGTCTAGTGTTTGTGTTTTTGTAACCGCAAATATTACATTATAAAGGGGTAGAGAGAGTCTAATTTTTGCAACAAAAAAAAAAAAATAATAATAATTATAATGATTTCCTAAAAATGCTGTTGCATTCAAGGTCAACTATGTTAAATTAGCTTTGGAAGCAAGAAGAAAATGCACATTGCCTAACAGCTCAAAGCTAATGTTGAGCATGCTTTTCTACAAATGATTTCAGCCACTGTAACGGTCATGGAGGTTATAGGTCATGGAGGTGTGTAGCTGCTTTGCACATGACGAACACACAAGTAAAATTTTGAGTGAAATATAACATTTATTTTATGTTCTTTACCTCTGTCCCAGTAATCTTTGTGAGAGCGACGCAGTCCGACCACCAACAGCAGAACCACCAAATAAACAGCAACTATGATCCATGGTGTGGAATTGGAGGAAAAGGGATGTTTGACGGGGAAATGTGCTGAAACTTCATGAGACATGAAATGGCTGAAAGTTTACACTATGGTTTAATAGACTGGTCAGTGCACTTCTTTCAGATACACAACGTCAGCTTTCTGACAATAATTTAACAACCAACATATTCAGCGACTTTTCTAGCAGAAAGAAATGAGCTTCAACAGTCATATGTATCAATTTTATTTTGAAACACTGCTGGTTCTCACCTCTGACAGTCAGCCAGCTCTCTGCTGACTCTCCAGCTCCAGAGATGTTACACTTGTAAAGTCCTTCGTTAGACTTGGAAACATTGTGGATGGTCATGTTTCCTGTAGTGCTGTTCCTGATGAAGACGCCATCTTTATAGAAACCAGCTGTGAGGTCTGAGGCTGGCGTCTTGTTTCTGCAGCGCAGAGTCACATCGTCTCCCTCCGTCACAGGAAGAGCGGGACTCTCCAGGATCACAGAACCAGCTGAACATGTGTTTGATATTTATATTCATGTTACATTAATGTTAAGTTAATGACAAAATCTTACTGTCTTGTTGTAAACATACCAGTGACAGTGATGTTTATACTGTTGCTTCTATTCCCAAATCCAGCCTCACACCAGTACTCCCCACTGTCGTCTGAATATACAGATGTAATTTTGCAGGATGATGTTGATATGTTGCTTTTGGATCCATGTCCAATTTCACAATCAAAGAGCCCCTCGCAGGTAAAAGTTACACTCTCATATTCGAAGAACTGCAGTCTGTTTGGATCGATACGAAGAGAAACTGCAACTGAGACAAAGAAAAATAAGATTCAGTTAAAACAGCCACCAGTCAAACTGTGTTCTTGAAAAATGGTGAATACTTTTCATATCAGGGAGGAAAGAACTGGTACTCACCAACTTTCTGATCATGTTCACGCAGCAGGATCGTCACAGTCATCACTGAAGAGACAAAGAAAAGAGCTAAAGATCAAACAGCTGCTATAGCTACTCTCATAGGCCAGAGTATCGTCTAGAAATATCACAACTGATGCAGAAAAATACAACATTAGGCTTTTAAACGGCCTCATAAACTTCAATTGACCTTTATAACAACGTCAGATGAAGCAGAGACAGACTCAGTACTCACACAGTCTGCAGCAGAGAGCTGTGACCTCCATGTTGTCTTGCTGTTGTCTGTCTGAGCAGCAGTGTCTTCCTGTGTGGCTTATTTCTGCTTCTCATGCAACACTAATTTTGTGTTTTAATCTGAAAACTGCTTCAACGCGACAGAGCTGCTGCAGCGGTAGAAATAGCCTCAGTGGTTAAGTTAGATATCAGTGGGTGGAACCATAGAACAAATGCAGACGTGCGCAGGCAAAGGACCTCAGGTCAGAATATGAATAAATGTAGTCAGGTGGTAAACCTATAGTAAGCTAGATAAAGTTTCCCACTGATCATTATAAAGAATATCCCTACATGAGTGAGTTCTTAGTTCATTTCTTTTTGAATGTTCATTTTATGGTTGTACATTTATAATGTGATGTACAGTTCAAGTGGGCTGCCGGCCTTTTGCCTGATGTCACGAGCCATGGTCAAGAGGTGGCAGTGTTGTGTTATTCCACCGAGACTATCGTTCTGTTTACGTTTGTCCTGTGTGGGCCACAGAAAGATGTAAACTTAAATGACTAGTGTTATGTTTATCAGGAGTCAGTGATGCTGAAACAAGACTAACAGTCTACAGCCATGCTAGCAGCTCTGTGAGACTGTAGAGTGAATATCTGTGTTTATTGTGTTAGCATGCTAACATTTCCCAATTAGCACTAAACCAATGTCCAGCTGAGGCTAATGGGAATGTCATTGGTTTTGTAGGTATTTGGTGATAAATGAAAGTATCAGACAAACTTAAATGTTGACCTGATGATGGCGCTAGATGAATATAGAGATATTTCAATAAAAAAAACAAAAACAAACATGTCAACCTCAGGGTGGAGTTATAGGAACAGTGTTTATCAAAGTCATTAAGATTCAGTATGGGGTGAGGACATGCCAATAACATACCATTGCATTACAGTTTTACTAGTATGAGTGCAAACAACAAAGGTGCCATCGAGCTACAGCTAACAACAGTTTGAGTTTATGGTTTTAAAACATCTGCTGCTAACAAACAATGTTCACACCGAATTCCTCAGCATGAAACAACCACAAACAATGACTGTAAGGTGTTATTGGAATCTGCTGCCGTCAATGAAAATGAGTCCCTATCTCACCCTATAAGAAATGCTAATTGCTAACATTAGCCTAATGATAATTTGAACTTTTATTAGCAGCAAATACGACCGCATTACAATAGTTAATTTAGCTACACATTAACAACATTACGTAAACTGTGAAGACAGCAAGACAATGGCACTGGTTCAAATTAACAAGAAAAACAAACATCTGCAAGTACCATTGTTAGCACTAGCTAACGGCCAGTACATTGCTAAAGACATTCTGGTCTGCCGATTTGCAGCTAGTTGATGTAGCATTTTCGTCATTTAAAAGATTAAAACTTACCTCCTTCTCCACAGGCTGGTGAGAGTTGATGAGAACATGCTTCACCTCTTCCCTCTCTGTGGGGTTTCCCTCCAAAAGTGACTTTTAGATGTTTCCCGTCATTTCACGAAAATTTTTAGATTTTGACGTTGAATGTGTCACCGTAGAAACGTGCTTTATGTAAAATACATGGGTTCCACGCCCCCTTGTTATTCCTCAGTTGGCATATTCAGATAATATTGATTAAGTGTCAATATTTCAGTGCTGAAAACATGATCCTTAACTCAACGGTAGTTTTTTCAACAGTGCTGGGGAAATGTTGAGGTAAACTTTTAGACCACGTAGCAACATGTTCCACCGACCTCCACGGTCTGGATGCTGAGTGGAGGAGATCATTAAACCCAACCTATCAGGAATTGTTGGGTTTTGAATTGAATCGTTCAACTCAATGATCCCTCGATTTGCAATCATAAGAAATTTGCTGTTTAATAAAAATCGGAAATGTTTGAACAGGTAGGAGATATGTGGGGTGGTGGCACCTCAGCCACACAGGAAATACGTAAGCTCAAAGTTTTGCATTTCAAATTAAAAATACTGTTCCTCTACATTAAATCTGTATAACATCACAGAATATTTCACAGCCTTACAACTATATATATATGTATCAGTGCCACAGGAAATAGATAGAGACTCCGTACTCACACAGTCTGAAGCAGAGAGCTGTGACCTGGATGTTGGGTTGCTGGTGTTTGTCTGAACACCAGGCTAAAGTGCAAAGTAGGTCAGGAGAGGTTTCTTCCTGTGTGGCTTCTTTCTGCTGCTCATGCAACACTACGAGACATCATCTGGGAGCCATGAATGTTTTGTGCCACATCGTCAATTACATGTCGTGTATATGTACGAGCTGGAGGAGAAGTCATCACCTAGGTCATTTGAAATGATACTGCAGGGACTTTGAATCAAACTCAATTAACCTCATGGTGGCGCTATAAGAATAGTCAGAGATTCACCAAAGTCAGAGAAATTCATCCTCTGGGAACCCTGAATGTATGTTTTCCATGACAGTAACTGAGTAACAGTGCCTGTATTGGAAACACAGTTTTTACCAATATGCTACAGTATTATATTCTAATAGGTGGAGTATGCTTGAGATTTAAGAGCCATCAGCCAGTGTGATATCTAGGTCAACAAGTGAGTGCCACCGTCGCCTTCTGCCTACAACCAAGGTTCATCTATCGCTGACAGTCAGATGTCACATGTTCCCACACTCCCCACACAGAGACATGGAGATGCTGTGGTTAGTCTGCAGACGGCTTCTCAGAGATGTGGTCGAAGTGGAAAGTGAAAGAGAAAAAACACAATATTTGCAGACACTGCAGATGTCTATTTTTCTAATATGTTCATTCCTTGATACAGCAAATGACACACCTGCTCCGGGACTCACAGAAAACAGGCAAAATGAATGAATGAATCAGTTTATAATACGTCTTAGAGCAGCGGGAAATATGCTTTATCTTTCATTTACTCCATTTTCTTCTCTATTATGACGGTTGCATTTACATGTGAGTGGACATGAAACAAGCAACAAACACGTACAGACATTACTCAAGACAAAAAGAAAACATAATAAAAACATACTAAAAATAGAAACACAAAATTAATTAAATGGTTCAATATAATTGTCATATAAGCCGCGCTCTACAAAGATACAGAGTGGTGTTAATTAAAGATTAACAGAGCAGGATATGTGACGTTGTGTGATTTCACTGGACTTTGACAGTGAGTCACTTCAGTGTCTGAGACGAGGCGACTGAACCACCCGACAGGTAGGCTGAAACTGTCTTTAAATGTATTATTAGAATTATTATTATTATTTACTTCTAATTTACTGAAACAGTGTTTTACAAATAAAGTAACAGAAACGAAAGTGGCAGATTTACAACTCATTTTAAATGTATTCTGTTGAAGTGACATCTCTGCCCTCCACATACGTGAGTAAACATATGTGACTAAACACCAAGGGAGTTTTAGTCCTAAAGATGGAAGGTGGTAAAACTTTAACCTTCTTTGTTTCCAGAAATAATGTCAGTCAAAAATAGCTCAACAAAGAAAACACAGGATGTTAACTCACATGAGCAAAGTTAGACAGGTGACAGGTGTTTCACATGTGACTCTATGTACTGTTTTATAAGATACGAAAGTTTCATCGGCAACTGTTTCTTATTGTTTGTGTTTCCATAGTTACAATAAATAAACAAAATGAAAAATGGTAATTTCACCACTTATTGTTTTGCATTAAACTGAACTGGATAACAGATGTTCGACAAATCACTTAGAATCTGATTTACAGTATATTTAATTAAGTATTTTTTGCATAAACTCAATTAAATTGTATTTGTCCTTTCTGGGGATCAACATTTTCCCTAAAGTTCAAAACTCCAAGATGCTTCACCTGAAAGGACTCGGTGCCATCGGCGCTTTGGTTTTCCATCACACCCTCGTCTTGGTTCTCCTAACACGTCGCTGCGAAGGTAACTCCTTAATGCTGCTGGGTATGAGACATTCAAGAGTCACAACGACTACAAAGTGATGCAAAATGACACAGAGACATAAAGTGACCTTAAAAGATGTAGGACGTGTGCGTGGTCTTCTGAACGTGATTCATCATGCACATGTTTTTGACGGTCTCAAATGCAGACCGCTTGCACTCTAACATTTCTTTCCAGGTGAGTCTCAGGTGATTGGTCCATCTCAGCCAATAGTGGCAGCTGTTGGTGATGACGTCGTGTTGCCATGCCACCTGGAACCTGCCGTGGACGCTTCAAGCATGACAGTGGAGTGGACGAGACCTGACCTGAGTCCCAGATTTGTGCATGTGTGGCGTGACGGTGTGGAACTGGAGAATAAAAAACACCCGTCCTACGTGGGGAGAACGTCAGTGTCCGTCAACAAACTGAAGCTCGGAGACGTTTCACTGAAACTGTCCAGAGTGAAACTGTCTGATGAGGGAACGTACAGATGCTTCGTTCCAACTCTGAACAGAGAGTCTACTGTAACGCTTGTTGTTGGTGAGTGGAGACATGACACCGACTTCACAGGGCAGAACCTCAAAGTGACAGTTGATCTGTGGAACCACATTCAACATTTTTTTATTCCCTTTTATTCATTTATTCCTTTTCCCAATTCAACAAATCAGAACATTGCCCCAGTTTGAATGGCAGGTCAGTGGCAGCTGTTAATTCTGCCTGGATTATACAAACTGGTCCATGTGTTTTAATCTAGACTACGTCTTTATTCCCTTCATCATTAGGTGCAGTCTCCTCACTTATCATCAGCTTGATGAGGACTGAGAACGATGGGGTGGTGTTGCAGTGTGAGTCTAAAGGCTGGTATCCAGAGCCTGAGCTGTTGTGGCTGGACGGTGAGGGAAAGCTGCTCTCTGCTGGACGAACAAAGACAGTCAGAGGTCCTGATGACCTCTATACTGTCAGCAGCAGAGTGACTGTGGAGAAGAGACACAGCAACAGCTTCACCTGTAGAGTCCAACAGAAGATCATCAACCAGACCAGAGAGATACAGATACATGTTCCAGGTTTTTGTTATTTCTGATATAACAGATTTTCTCATTTACAATACCTAAAATATATTTCTGTGGATTTGGGTGAAGTGACTGTGAAATTTAATTATTCTCTGTAAATATCTTTTTCTTCTATGTTTTAGATGACATCTTCATTGCATTCAGTAGACCTGAGCTTTATCTCACTATTTTTGTGGCTGTTGGATTCTTGTCTATTCTTGCAGTTTTCTTTGCTGTGTGGAAATGGAGACAAAATAAGAGGAGTAAGTCCTAATTCCACTCTACCTCTCTCTTATTGTCAATTTGCTATTGGAGTTATAGGGATGTATAATGTTTTATTACAAAACAAAAACCTATTATCTAGTGAATTACCCAGACAATTTTACAGTTTTTAAAAGGAAACAATAAGTCGTAAAATGATGTCATACACTAAATGTTGTATTTACTGCCATTTTTTCATGTTACCATAGAAATGAAAAATATGGAGGATTTCAATGAAGACAAGACAAACCTTGATCAGGAGTTAGAAAAGGAAGAACACCTAAAGAAAGTCAAGGTGGAGGTAATGACAATATGGAAGAACCATAAGAACCAACTAGAGAACTTAAGAAAGCAACTGGAATCACAGCTGGAAGAGGCAGTTGAGACCGTGACGAAGCTAGAGTCTACAAAGAATTCGTCTGGCCTTCAATTCACTTTTATACGATCGTTCTACAATGGCACTAAGGCCCTTCCTGAAGAGGCCTACCAAGAACTGGGGAAGAGAAACGCTGGACTTGAGGAATGGCTAAAGAACTTTGAAAAACAACTACAGACAACAGATGAAGGGATTACAAGACTGATAGCAGCGACCGAACAAGACAAGGCTCAAGGAAACCCAGAGGGTCAGAGCAGTCCGAGAGAGGAAGCAGAGGAGGACAATGAAACTACTGTGTTAGCACCAAAAGAGGATTATTATTCTGAACCTGAAATTAAAGCTCAGGTGTAGACAAAATGAACAGAAACCAGTGAGCTGTCTAACTTTGATTAGAGAATTCTAACTACTGCAAAAGTGAAGGTGGAAAAAACGGTGTGAGGGAGAGGGCTTACTGTTTTTATACTTATAGCTCAATGTTGAATGAATATCTTTTGTTTTTTCTCTGTATACTTGTTCCACCGACCTCCACGGTCCGGATGCTGAGTGGAAGAGATCATTGAACCCAACCTATCAGGAATTGCTGGGTTTTGAATTGAATCGTTCAACTCAATGATCCCTCGAGTTGCAATCATAAGAAATTTGCTGTTTAATAAAAATCCGAAACTCTTCGAGTAGGAAACATGATATCGAACAGGCAGGAGATATGTGGGGTGGTGGCACCTCGGCCACACAGGAAATACTTAAGCTCAAAGTTTTGCATAGAGACTCCGTACTCACACAGTCTGAAGCAGAGAGCTGTGACCTGGATGTTGGGTTGCTGGTGTTTGTCTGAACACCAGGCTAAAGTGCAAAGTAGGTCAGGAGAGGTTTCTTCCTGTGTGGCTTCTTTCTGCTGCTCATGCAACACTACGAGACATCATCTGGGAGCCATGAATGTTTTGTGCCACACCATCAATTACATGTTGTGTATATGTACGAGCTGGAGGAGAAGTCATCACCAAAGTCATTTGAAATGATACTGCAGGGACTTTGAATCAAACTCAGTCAACCTCATAGTGGACATGAAACAAGCAACAAACACGTACAGACATTACTCAAGACAAAAAGAAAACATAATAAAAACATACTAAAAATAGAAACACAAAATTAATTAAATGGTTCAATATAATTGTCATATAAGCCGCGCTCTAAAAAAGATACAGAGTGGTGTTAATTAAAGATTAACAGAGAGCAGGATATGTGATGTCGTGTGATTTCACTGGACTTTGACAGTGAGTCACTTCAGTGTCTGAGACGAGGCGACTGAACCACCCGACAGGTAGGCTGAAACTGTCTTTAAATGTATTATTAGAATTATTATTATTATTTACTTCTAATTTACTGAAACAGTGTTTTACAAATAAAGTAACAGAAACGAAAGTGGCAGATTTACAACTCATTTTAAATGTATTCTGTTGAAGTGACATCTCTGCCCTCCACATACGTGAGTAAACATATTTTAAGAATATACAACACCTGTGTCACATGATCATGTGACTAAACACCAAGGGAATCTTAGTCCTAAAGATGGAAGGTGGTACAAGTTTAAGTTTCTTTGTTTTCAGAAATAATGTCAGTCAAAAATAGCTCAACAACGAAAACACAGGATGTTAACTCACATGAGCAAAGTTAGACAGGTGACAGGTCACATGTGAAAAACCTGTCACCTGTCTAACTTTGCTCATGTGAGTGTGACTCTACGTGCTGTTTTATGAGATACAAAAATTTCATTGACAACTGTTTCTTATTGTTTATGTATCCATAGTTACCATAAAAAAACAAAATGAAAAATGGTAATTTCACCACTTATTGTTTTGCATTAAACTGAAATGGATAACAGATTATTTTTTGCATAAACTCAATTAAATTGTATTTGTCCTTTCTGGGGATCAACATTTTCCCTAAAGTTCAAAACTCCAAGATGCTTCACCTGAAAGGACTCGGTGCCATCGGCGCTTTGGTTTTCCATCACACCCTCGTCTTGGTTCTCCTAACACGTCGCTGCGAAGGTAACTCCTTAATGCTGCTGGGTATGAGACATTCAAGAGTCACAACGACTACAAAGTGATGCAAAATGACACAGAGACATAAAGTGACCTTAAAAGATGTAGGACGTGTGCGTGGTCTTCTGAACTTGACTCATCATGCACATGTTTTTGACGGTCTCAAATGCAGACCACTTGCACTCTAACATTTCTTTCCAGGTGAGTCTCGGGTGATTGGTCCATCTCAGCCAATAGTGGCAGCTGTTGGTGATGACGTCGTGTTGCCATGCCACCTGGAACCTGCCGTGGACGCTTCAAGCATGACAGTGGAGTGGACGAGACCTGACCTGAGTCCCAGATTTGTGCATGTGTGGCGTGACGGTGTGGAACTGGAGAATAAAAAACACCCGTCCTACGTGGGGAGAACGTCAGTGTCCGTCAACAAACTGAAGCTCGGAGACGTTTCACTGAAACTGTCCAGAGTGAAACTGTCTGATGAGGGAACGTACAGATGCTTCGTTCCAACTCTGAACAGAGAGTCTACTGTAACGCTTGTTGTTGGTGAGTGGAGACATGACACCGACTTCACAGGGCAGAACCTCAAAGTGACAGTTGATCTGTGGAACCACATTCAAAACTTTTTTATTTACTTTTATTCATTTATTCCTTTTCCCAATTCAACAAATCAGAACATTGCCCCAGTTTAAATGGCAGGTCAGTGGCAGCTGTTAGTTCTGCCTGGATTATACAAACTGGTCCATGTGTTTTAATCTAGACTACGTCTTTATTCCCTTCATCATTAGGTGCAGTCTCCTCACTTATCATCAGCTTGATGAGGACTGAGAACGATGGGGTGGTGTTGCAGTGTGAGTCTAAAGGCTGGTATCCAGAGCCTGAGCTGTTGTGGCTGGACGGTGAGGGAAAGCTGCTCTCTGCTGGACGAACAAAGACAGTCAGAGGTCCTGATGACCTCTATACTGTCAGCAGCAGAGTGACTGTGGAGAAGAGACACAGCAACAGCTTCACCTGTAGAGTCCAACAGAAGATCATCAACCAGAGCAGAGAGACACAGATTCATGTTCCAGGTAGAAAATAAAGTCTTCATATTGTGATGTCCTGAGAGCTTTTCTTCTCACTTGAGGCGTGGGTGCAGGAAACTTGAATTCAGTATATTTATTCTTCTCAAAACAGGTATCTTTACTCTGTCCCTCTTATTCTGAGTCTCTTCACTTCTGTCTTTTCTTACTAAAGTGATGGGTTGTAGTCCTTGCTGCAGCCAGCGGGAGGGAATGTCACAATATGAACACTTGTTTTAACCTAAAATTATAGCTGAGATCTAACTTCTGTGTTTAATCATGTCAGGTGATTTCTTCAACACCTCGTCTGGATCTGCTGTTCACATCTCCATCGGCTTGACGGTGGTCGTCATGGTCATTATTGCACTAGTTTTTGTTGTGTGGAAAAGGAGACGGCAACAAAGAAGTAAGTCTGTCTTTCATTTTGCTTCTTTCTAAATGTCAAGGAGAGTTTCACAGCTTCCTGTTAGAGACAGTGATAAAACATAAAGAAATGTTCATGCATCAATGATTAGAAGTTGTTAGTGGTACATGATCTGAGAATCTGAACATGTTGGTTTGAATATGGTAGAGACTGTATTCCTGCTCTGAATCCTTAATTTTATACTGTTTCTTTACAGCAGGAAACAGATGTACGACTTCAACAACCACAGGAACTTCAAGTAACTGCAAAGAAAGCCACGCTCTGTTTGATGAAAAAAGAGAAACAGTTTTGGAAGAGAGAGAAGCAAACCTCAATGCACAGTTAAAGGAACTTGAAGATGAACACAAAGATGTGGTGGGGGTGGTTAATTTTTTAATGGAGCACAAGAAGAATCTGGAGAACCAGATCCTGGAATTTGAATTTCAACTGGATGAGGCTGAGAAACAGAGCGATGAGAAGCAGAGTCAGCTGGTAACACCAGCAGAGGAAACTGTGGATGAAAACAAGTGTCTTGACACCAAAACAAATCCTGACACAGTGAAGAAAATGCAGCAGGAAACAGACGCATTGTTAAACTCAGTAATCTGTGGGGTCACTATATTGACGGAGAAGAAGAAAGTGTTAGTCGACCTCGAGGAAAAAATTGATAAACAACTGGAGGAGATAAAGGAGCAGAGACAGAAGACACTCGGAGGCAGTCAGTCAGAAGGATCAATACACACTCAATCATTTCAGCTGCCAGAAAAGAAATCCACAGCAGCAGCTGAAGCAGAGACGGGATGACACATTTGAGGACTATTAAAAAGTCCTCAAATGCTTCAGATCGATAAAACTAGAGATCATTTCATACAGATATATGAAACATTCCATCACAACCATCTCAATAATCATACAAAACAGTATTAATATTACTGTACAGTTTCATAATTTGTTCGGCCACTGGGTGGCAGTGTTGTGCTTGAAATGTTTCTCAGTTAATTCAATAGTGCTGAAAGTTTTTATCTCATTGTTCACTAATGTTTTATTAAGGAAAATGTTACATGATAATTATTATGTAACACACTTTATTCACATGATAGTAATCAATTTTCACATGGTCCATTATAGTTCATGCTTTATGTTATACATTGTCTTGAGACATATTCAATGATACAACTGTATTTATCCTCCTCCTTCACTAGTTCACATGGGGAAGGTGATTTAACAGTGTGATTCATTTCTTACCATAGTCTGACATTGTGTTGTTGGTTTGCCATTTTAGGTCCTTATTACATTAACAGTTGTCACACAGTGCGGCCACTTTAACCACTTTTTAACCTCCACCTGTTAAAATAGACACTGATGCTACGAGTTACCTGAAACTCTTTAGGTCTTTTCTGCTGCATAATAAGTCACACATTGTCATTAATTAAGAATCAACACCTTTATTCTGTACAAATTTACATAACCTCCAATATCATTAAATGTTTCTCAATGTATTTCTTATAAACACAGAAATGTGCCATTGTCTTTCCTTCTGCAATGGAAGCGATTAAAACTGTAACAGATCAGAATATTTGGAATATTTTGGAGAGCCTGCGTTCATTAAAGCGTCCTGCATTAATTAAACCTGCAAGACACACAAGACACTAAGATTATAGCTGTAAAGATGGTTGTATTTGAACTTAACTTATAAAATCTGGATTTTATTAAGATCAATTAAGACTCCTCATGAATATAAAAAGTTTTCCATTTCCCACTAGTTCTCTTAATAGCAAAGCAGAGATGGCGTTAACATAGAGCAAAGAGGCGCTGGAGACCAGAATTACCCTCAGTCGTGACTAATTGATTGAATAATAGAAGCGATCCTCTTCTGTACCTGCAGACCAAAGTGCTGTTGCTGAGCAGCTGGGAGCTCCTGGCTCTGTTTTGGAGAGAAATCTCAAAATTGTGAATTTTTCATTTACAGTAAAAGCTGAAATCTATATGATCATTAATAAATTTCTTGATTGCACTGTAACAAGATGAATGGGTGAGAAATTCTGGTGGAAGCCAGGATTTTATTTATTCATCCATTTTTCCCAATTTAAATAGAAATGCTGTTTCAAACTATTCTACATACTATAAGAATAACATTCTGTTCACGAATTGATAATTCTTTTAATTTAATGACCTAAAAATTCACAAATTAAAATTTAGTATTGAGTAAAAATCCTGGAATCAGGCTATAAAATATCCATTCACTATAAAATCTAAACTCCCCCTCAAGTGAACATGGTGTCCTCAATGGTAAAGCTATGGACTTGAAAAGGTCAAATGTTGTTAGCAAAGCAGGAGTGAAAACAGAGTGTATCCCAGCTCAGTGTTATTAGCCTACCTCTTCATGGTGGACGTAATTGTTAAGGCCTAGCCAGGCTTAAGGTGTGGTAAACAGGTAAATGCAAGGAGTCCTCCTTATCTGACAGAGAGACGCTTAGAGAGCCTGAGACAGACATGAATATGTGATTAAACAAGCATTTAAATACTGACTAGTTGATTGCCTCCTGCTTCTTGTATCTGGGGTACCACACAGCTTAATTATTGTCCCATTTGTTTTTCTATTAAATACAGAGCCAGTCAAAAGTTTGGATACACTTAATAAGAAACTGTATCTGAACTTTTGACTGGTACTCAATTTGTTCCCTGAGACTCAGCGTGCTTAATTGTGTTTTTAAATCGTCATTATGCAGATGATACCCTAATTAATATTCGGTTTAAACATAAGCAATTCAACGACTTTGTGCGGTGAAGTAGGGGAATACTATTCATTCTAAAAAAGCTTTACTCTTCTGTTTGAATGAAAGAGTCCTTTAGTCATTTGATCTTGTCACAACGACTTGATATCTACCATTTCTTGTGATTTTACACTCACCCTCTCTTTTTTAAATTTGAAATATTTTTCAAATAAGATTTTTCAAATTGTTGCTGTATTCCATCTGTTCACAATTACAGATACATTTAGTCTCGTCCTGCAGCCTGGTATCACCAAATGGTTTGTGAATAACACACCAATTTACAGAATTTCCTGATAACCCCAACCTCTAAACCTTCCCCTAAAATTAACCAGGATCACAATGGTTGTAAATGACGTGAAAAGCTCAAAATGACATTACATAGACATGATGAAATGCCCTTGGATGTGCATGCTATTTTTACATAATTTCACAAGATCACGTTACTTCCTGTCTTATTTATTGTAACACAGGTGCATCTAGAATAAAATCTGTGAGAAATTAAGGGTCGAACTTTAGTACATCAGTCACCTGATTATGAGACTGGCCCCATTGTTTATTTATAAAATTCGGTGCACCTGCTCACTTACCGCACAACTAACGAGGCTGCTACATGGTTTAGAGTACTTGGTAAAAATAAATGTGATAGATGGCTGCATTGTCGTTTGACAGCCAACATAAGAGTTTCTGAACTGTGGGACTCATCTACGAGTTTCCATCTGTGGGTTCCTCACGTGGTTTTTGTCTGAGACTAAAAAAGAAGCTCAATTTATCAACGAGTCTGTAGCTTCTGAAACTGACACAGTCTAAAGTCATTTCAAGAATGTTCTATAAATATCAGTTGAGTAGTTCTCACCATTTTCTGTTTGTGACACCAAAGCAACAACCGTTTAAAAGCTACAAGCTTCAACTGAAGGGAGGTCAACTTTAATACTGGGTCATATTTTTTTCATTTAATTGCTTTCCCAGATAGCAAAACAAATCCGGCCCATATACAGTACAGCATGATTGTCTGATGCTACTTCCAAATCTGGACCAATTAAAGTAAATGTTGAAGGATAACAGCCGGATTCCACCCAGATGTGGAAGTATATGGGTCAAACTTGGGCCAAGGACTCAGGCATATGTTTGGCCAGAAGTTTCAGTTTATTATCTGTGTTTTTTTATCATTCAGTGTTTCTAAGTGAAAACCAAATTACCTTTCACTTTCATGGGTCTTGTGACGACATTATATGTTTCCTGACATTGTTCAGCCACACTGTCCCCTGCAGATACTGAAACATAATAAAATATAATTTACACAAGCATCAGGTTTATATCTATAGGCAATGAGAAAGTGCAAGATAATGTCAAACTACTAGAGTGTGAGTTACTAAAAGGCTGAGACAGACACTAAATACATCACTGCACATTAAAATATCGGGCTGGTTGTGTCCTGGACCAGTTTTTCTTGTGTCCTTGTTATACTTTATTATAATGTTATGTTTCTATGGGAGATGTAGAGTAT